TTTATAGTCATTTTAAGTTCAAATTTGCATGAAATTACATTAAAAAAACCTAGAATAACTATTTTAGTTATTTCGTTGTGATTGTATAATATTATTCGTGGGTACTTGAATTTTCTAAAGTAGGTACACTATTATATATCTATGATAGTGTCAGGGTTTGTTGTTGATGTATAACGCGTTATAAGTACCTAATGGATATTGTGATATGATTAATTTGGAATTTATTATAGGCGTATACTTATAATAGGTCAATTTTTTTTTATACGATAAGTATAAAATATGCCATTATACCTAGACTGACATACCGTCTGCGCTCAGAATCGTTTTTCTTATACAATGATATTATATCATTGAATTTAAATTTAATATCATCCATTATACAGTGACCTACTTGTAACCTACTTTACAGCAGAGCACTTTTTTTCGTTTGTAAAGAATTCGTTTTCCTAAAAAACTAAAAATACCTATGGGGGGGGGGGGGCTGGGGAAATGCCCCGAATTTTGGTGCAATTATAGTAAAAAAAATTTGGGGCTTCAGCCCCTCCCATATATTTTTCAATCACTGCCTCTCAGAAACTTTTTTCCACCCTTCCCCATCTATAAAAAATCCTCTTTTTTAAAGTTCTCATCCTTATCAAGTGCTGCCACTCGCTTAACGACCGAGGTCCGAGAACTGAAGGTATAATATAAAATATAGTTGGATGGACTCAGGGAAAATATTTTATCAAAAACACTAAGGCGCGCTCATAGATCATTTACTAGGTACGAGCTATAACATTGTGTTACTAAAATAAAATTAAAAAAAATGTATTTTATAATTTTTTTTTTTCAGTTGTTATCATATATATTTTTTTTTATTTAGCAATATAGTGATATAAACTTCCTCATGGTTTTTGGGAGGCTTTGAATGTTTTTTGAGGGGGCTTAGCTCCTCCAGCCCCCCCTAATTGCGCCAATGGCTCCCACGTACCATTAGATCGCTTACAATATGCCTTGTCCAATCTCACTTAAAGTCCCTCTAGTAAATGAGCAAACTCCTCTTAATTTATAAGTTGTATTTTGCACAGTTAATTCTGAAGGTATTTCGCTTAATTTTATAGTTCGTCCATTTGAACCTGAAAACGGTTGAAAAAACTTAACACTAAATACTGTGTTTGAATTAATTAATTATTTACTTATTTCTTTACAGTTATTTTAGTATTTTCATTTACATAAAAACATAAGTTAACAAAAATGAATTAATTAATATAAATATTCTTTACTAAAATAGTAAATGACCTAGATGAGAATGTGTGTAAAAATCAATTATTAAAAAGTATCTATGTGTAAATATAAATGATAGCTGATCCCGTGCACTTCGTTGCCCTTAAAAATGTGTGATTGTTTAAATCATTTTGGATGTAACTCGCAACAGTAAGTGCAATTCAGCCACCCCGAACAATGATACATTAAATAACTATTTCTCCTATGAGCAATAGACAATAGCCACCATTTTCAATAAACAACAACCAATAATTATTATTTATTATTATAATAGCTTTAAAACCCATGGCAACTATTTTTAAACACAAATTCCTATCGTAAATCTCAAAATTTCAGTTTGAGCACCTCCCCTGGGTGATCAATTCACTTTTTAAATTAGCCTATAGGTATTCATCAATGATAATGTCGGCTTCTAATGGTAAAACAATTTTTAAAATCTGTCCAGTTGTTTCGGAGCCTATTAATACAAACAATCAAATCTATCCTCTTTATAATATTAGTATAAATTATCTATTAGTATTGTTTAGTTATATAATTATAAGATAATGTTATTTAGAGAAGTAAAATACAACATTCTCAATTGTATAAGATACATTTTATTTTATTTTATTATATTATATAAGTAATATGTGTAGGAACTCCGTATACCAGAAACGAGCTTGCTCAGTTGGTATACGTATCAGCTCTTATCACTATATTATTGTAGTAATTTAACATTTGTAATTTGACTATTGTATTATTGTATTGAAATAATGATATTGATTTTGCTGAAATAAATAAATAAAAAATATAAGGTTCAGTCGCTTATTAGACTCAAAATCGTCTGGAACGGTCCGGACGTATTTAAATACATTAAAAAAAAATCGGTTATAAGACTCAAATTTCGTAAAATAAATAGTAGAAAATAAACTTTTTTGGTTGTAATTTAGAAATAAATTGGTATTGAAAAATTAAATAATATTCGTGTTGATTTTTTCTATAGTTTCTGGTGGTACCTTATAACGCATAATAATTTTTATCGCAGATAAAATGTTTATATATTCGAATCTCAACGCGTGCTTTTCTTGTTGTTAACATGAGTGCTAATCTAACGCATTTTCATCTAACATTTATAAATACGTAATTAATTTATTTTCCCACTTTGAGATTCATTCGGTTATAAGACTCACTTTGTGCTGGTCCCAAAGTGAGTCTTATAAGCGGAGTCTACTGTACATATTTTGTTATTATTGTGACTATTGTGTTGTTATTTTACATAACAGCACGAAATCCTTTACAGGTAGGATAAAGTGTAGAGTTATTGGCACTGGTATAGTTAATGACACCTTGATATGTTATTATTCATAAATAATAATGTTATTGATAATTTGAGGAGTTTTTTTTTTGTTAATTAGCCACACTTGTGTAGTTAAGTAATCAACGTTTGATATCAAATTTATGTTATCAGTTATATGAATATTTTTCCCTCGAAAATTAATTCGTGCTAAAATCCAAAATCAGGTAAGAACTTTCAATATTGTACTGTTCAGTGGCGTAATTTGGTCATGGTTGTGGGGGGGGGGGATGAAATGTATGTACATTTCACCAATTACCCCCCCCCCCTCAACATTTTTTTTTAATCGTATAAGGCATAAGCTATAAGCAATAAGCACCCCTCAATACAAGAATACAACTATTATGATCTGTATGTAATAACTAGTAGCCGGAATTATATTCTTTTGCATATTTTTTTTTGAGTCTATGCAGTCAGACGGGGGTTCGAAATCTTTACAAATCATGAAACAGGTGAGTTAATGGCAAAAGTTTATTTTGCATATTTGGGAATATTTCAAGATAAAAGAATATTTTGTATAATAAAAAATATTAGAGAATATATCGATTAATTTTTGTAGATGTTCGATATTTTTTGTTGCAGTGGCCTAAATAATATAAATAGCACATATAAAAACATTTTAACCGACCGTTGTACAAATATGACATCAGGGAACATGGAACAAAATATAGTTGTCAACTGTTTTCAAAAATTTTCTTAGTTAAAAATTTAAAATAATTAAATATTAAATCAAACTTTTCTTAACAAGTAGTATTTTTTATTATGTAGGTACCTATTTATATCAGGTTTTTATATTATTTTGCATATTATGTACCTATTTATTTATATGAGTTCGTATTATTTGCTTAATTATTTTGCATATAAATGCATATTTTTAGTTCAAGAGAATATTTTAATAAAAAAAGCATTTTTTTTTGCATATTTTATTATTATTTTTAAAGAATATTGGAAGAATATTTTCAACTTTTTAAGAGAATATTAGCATCTTATTTTGGCTATTTTAAAAGAATATAATTCCAGCCCCTAGTAATAACTAATATTGTATATACAGTGTGATCACGATTTTAGGTACCACTGAATATCTCAGATGGCTGACTTTGTATTGAAATGGGGTTTTCGGGAGGTGATAGCCGATAGGAAGCACTTAAATACATATTTTCAGACCAGTTTAAAATTTTTAGCTCACTCGGTATGCGCATGCGCAATTTGACTTACTTTTTGTTAAATGGCAACCCCACTTTTTTTCTACAGATTCGGGTAGAGTATTTTTTTTTAAACATTTTTTGTATTGAAAGTTTTTCTATTTATAAAACTGACCAAGTTAGAGAAAGTCAAATTTTGGATTTATTCATAATACGTGTTTAATGCAATTTGCATTTATAACCAGTTGAAATAATAAAATAAGTGCCAAATAAATGTTTGATTAGGGGGGGGGGGGGTGGCTGAGTGGACTAAGGCGTCGGTTGTGGCCGATTTCCGTCCGCCATTAAACATTTATTTGGCTCTTATTTTATTATTTCAACTGGTTATAAATGAAAATATCATTAAACACGAATTATGCATAAATGTTCAATAAATGTTCAAAAATAAATACTCTACCTGAATCTGCAGAAAAAACTGGGGTTGCCATTTAAAAAAAAGTAATATTGCGCATGCGGCATGCGCGTACCGAGTGAGCTAAAAATTTGAAACTGGTCTGAAAATATGTATTGAAGTGCTCCCTATAACCTCCCGAAAACCCCATTTCAATACAAAGTCATCCATCTGTGATATTCAGTGGTACCTAAAATCGTGATCACACTGTATATGATAATATTGATGGATGATTATATATTTGTATAATATTATGGAGATTCAGGTGATTTTTGTATTATCTATGAAATATATATTAATAAAATTAGTAGGTACATAAATGTGTTTGACGATTAAAAAAAAAAAAAAAAATGGTCAAGGGGGGGGATACGACACCCAAATCCCCCCCGTAATTACGCCACTGGTACTGTTTATTATATCTTTTTACATAGGCATTAATTGATTGACTAGTAATCTAAATAATTTGAACTTTAGATATTATTCTGATTCCTTAGAATATTTCAAATGAAATTACATACTTCAAATCAGATTTAGATTAATATTTTTTTAATTTAGTAGGTATGCCAATAACTGTCTTACAATTATTCAGTTTTTTAGTTATTGGCATTGTGTGCCAATAATTGAATGAAGAGTAAACATTTTGATCTTTATTATTGGCACTACCTATTTATTTATTAATACCTACCTTATAAAATCAAACTATATAATAATATGTACTTACCTACTTAAACAGTTTTATATTACATTCTTCTGTTCTATAATAGACAACAGTAAAGATTAATATTATATCTTAGGTACCTACATTTTAGAAATGCCTAAAAAAAGGGAAGCGTTTTCTGAAACCAATTTACTAAAAGCCATATCTGCTGTGCTAAAATATGATGGTTCAAGCAAAAAAGGAGCTGCCAAACTGTTCAATGTTTCAAGATCAACATTACAGTTTAGGCTGAAGAATCCTGATGGTAAAACGACTTGTGGCCCTAGTACTATTTTAACTGCAGACGAGGAAAAACTTTCGGAAACCTGGATACTGGAAAGTTGCAAAAAAGGATTCCCTCAGAGCAAGGAACATTTGCAGCTCAGCGTTAAACAATTTTTGGATAATGACAATAGACCTAATCCGTTTAAAAACAATTTACCAGGTTAGTAATTACAAAGTACCATTTTATCAAAATTGTATAAATTAAATTATTAATAATATCCATTTTAAATAAAAATGTAGGAGTTGGTTGGTATAAAGCTTTTATGAATCGGCATCCATCCATTTCTGTAAAAACTTCTGAACATGTAACAGGTGCTAGTGCTAACGTTAGTGAAAAGGTCATGAGAAAGTGGTTTTCAGATATTTAAAAAATAATAATATATTTATAAAAAACAGAGGATTGTTTAATTTAATATTTTTATAGATTTATACCTATTTACTATTTTAATGTTCCTACCAACTAATGGTTTATTAGGTAAATGGCTTTTATAAATATTTCATATTTGTGATTATATTTTTACTGGAGTACCTAAATGTTAAGTTTAAACATTTTTAATCATTAAAGGCAAAATATTGTTTAATTTAAACTTGTTATTTATTTACATAATTGTTTTAAAAACTACCTAATTAATTATTTTATTTTAAAAATAATTTTGAGTAATAGGTAGGTAGGTAGGTAGCTATGGTTAGTTTTAAATATTTAAGAATACATCAATAAGTAATTGTTTTATTTGAAAAATTATATTTTAATGTAAATACACGCATATATTAATTTAATAAAGGTATTATGTAGAAGAAAAGTTTAAATACCTAATTGATTTAAGCTGTAAATGTATAGGTAATTATAGATACCTAGGTACATTTGAATATATAAATTTATGGGTGCTAATAACTATAATTACAAGTGTCAATAATACAAATGTGGTGCCAATAACTATGTTTAAAATTTTTTTTCGATGGAATATGTTTAATTTATCAAACATAAGTATCCCTATGCTCAATATAGTTATTACGAGTGCTTCCCCGCAGTAAGGCATTTGGCTGGCTTATCATAATATAATAACGTTATCATAGAGTTAATCTGCGACAACAGTTAAATTTTTTCAGATCCTATCTAAAAATAATAATTATAATAAAATTGGTTTTTTACGCTTAATTCAAGTATTTGAAAAAATTTCCGGAAACTTCAAAAGTTATGGCAATTCAAAGTTGTCAATATTAAAAAAATATAGGTACTTTTGAATGGACGAGCGAGTGACCACGCTGGGAATAAATATACTTAGAAACAATATTGAGGAAAACCGAGGTTTACCTGAGGTAGTTCACACAGCAAATAGGGGGATATTTTCGATTTGCGCCGAGGAGCGTAGCGACGAGTGCCGATACACCCGTAATCGCTGCAACTTTGATATGCCATAACTTGTGAGAACAGTGAGTTTCTGGAAATTTTTGTAACTGGGAAACGGTGTAGCTGGTGGTACGCAAATTTAAAAAGTTTGAGAACCTCTGGTCTAAAGCCCTGTTCACACGATCAAATAATTTGTCAAATATTTGACATTCGTCAAACTCCAAATATTTTAGAACCATTTCTAAAATATTTGAAGTTTTACATACATCAAATATTTGACAAATTATTTGATCGGGTGAACGGGGCTTAAAGAAACTAAAAATTATACAATACAAACTATTACAAATAATACATTTCTATGTATCAAAATTAGAAAATTCTGAATTTTACATATATTTATATTTTTTTTTAATTCTATGTTAACGTTATTATTTGATAAGCCAGCCAAATGCCTTACTGCGGGGAAGCGCTCGTTAGTTATTGATAAAGATAAGTATCAATATTCTTAATCAGTAAAAGTTTTGATAGTAGTTTTATACTCTGATTGGATGATTTAAACATCGATATTGTGTAACAATTTCCTTAAAGTGCCAATAACTATACACTTTACATACTAAGTTATTTATATACGTAATATTCACTAGCTCTCGGCGCTCAGGGTTAGGCTCTACTATTTTTACTATCGATGTGTACGCGCTGTATACACGCAGTATACGAGCTAATATTGACGATGTATATGCGCTACTATATTGTCGATGTATATGTTACGCCGAATTTGTGAAATTGCCGATTTCATGAAATCGGCAGAAAAATGCCGATTACATGGAATCAGCATCGTTGTTGCAGAAAACGTGAAATCGGCAATTTTTCTGCCGATTTCATGAAATAGGCATACTTTTTTCTGCCGATTTCATGAATTCGGTATCACATTATTACAAACATAATTTATTACGAATAATGATAGATACATAAATAACCAATATTTGAACCCATTTGAACCACATCATTATCTTTATTACCTATGATGGTAGACGCTACTGATGGTTAGGTCCCCACTGGCGTATGGCGTGGCTTTATCTTACTTACTAAGCCCGGCTTAGATTTAAGAATTAGATTTTCGTAAGAATAGTCAACTCTTTGCTATTTTCGCAACACCATTTTCGGTTAATATTACTGCTGTGGAAACTAAATTTCAAATGGAATGCATTGAGTTGCAATCAGATATTTAACTCAAAGAAAAATTTAATCAGTCATCTTTATTAGATTTTTATAAATTATATCTACCCAAAGAAACATATCCAGTCCTTCATGACCATGCCTTATTCATGTTCTCGCTTTTCGGCAGTACTTACATTTGCGAACAATTGTTTTCAAGAATGAAAAACACAAAGAGTAAGAATTGGTCCACTATATCAGACAAGCACCTTGAAAGTTGTTTAAGGATTTCCACAACTTCAATCGATCCAGATATTGATTCATTACTTTCACAAAAAAAGCAATTTCAAATTTCACATTAAAAAAAAAACTAATGACTTTTAACTTTTTTAAACTAAAACTTTTTTTATTATAAATAAATATATTTTTCTGTGTACTTATAATTGAATTATTAAATATTAATACTTGTAAAAATATTTCAGCTTATTATTCGCTATTGTAAAATTATAAAAAAAATGTATTGTTGTATTATAGATTATATAATTTAATCATTAAATTTGAATGCATTATTTTTAAAAAAAGTATGTGGCCCATAGCAACTTCTACCTATATGATGTGGCCCAGTCTTCACAAAAGGTTGGACACCCCTGTACTAAGGCATTTTTATTGCTTTGATAAAATAATGTGACAAATATTGCCTACCTACATGTTCGGCGTTCAGTTATTCGTTTCGCCTGCTGAAATAGTTAACAGTGTGTGGCGGTTCGAAAAGTGCGTTTATTAGTTGCAATAATCAATTAAATATAATAAAATAATAATATATTTATTATTACATTTATTAACTGTGGACTCTAAATGGACAGCAGAACGAGATGCCGAAGCTGTAAAAATTTTAACTAATGACGCTTCTGTAAATAAAGATAGGCGGTATTATCACGTTCGTGAGAAATTTGATTTAATCGAGGTACAGTAGAACCTCGATTATCCGTGACTCGATTATCCGTGTTCGCGATTAACCGTGCTCACTCTTCCGAAAATTTAAAAATAAATATGGACTGTAGATATTAGGGGTCTCAATGGAACAAGTGTTTTTTTGCACCCTTGTATCTGTGACACGTATAGGCGCAAATAGGGGGGGGCTTAGGGGGTATTAGCACCCCCAATTTTAAAATTAGCACCATCTAATAAATATGTGTTTATGTATCAAAACTTCTCTTTACAAAAAAAAAAAAACCAAAAACAGTTTATCATCAGACATGAGGGTATCAGAGTATAATGAATGAAACAATGAACTCGACAATTGTAATTTTATCGAATTAAAATCTATTTAGAATATAAATCATTATTTTCCAATGTTTCTACTAAGCCCGGTCGTTGTGGTCGGTTATATTATTATCAGTGTTATCACGTTCAGCAGCGACTCAGCTCTACGACAATTTATAGTATCGTGAGTATTTACTAATAGAAACATTCCCGTGCCCACATCTAATTCGGACAAAAACATAATTACGATATACGAATTACTTGTCAGTTGGTGTTCACTGGAGTTCCAAGTTTCCGACAGCCTGTGTGATTGTGTATGCCGAATTAATAATATAGTAGGTACAGATATAACTGACTTTTGGAATAACTTTTGTTCTAATCAATATTTTTATGTTTTTTTATAATTTTAACAATTTTTGTCACACATTTAAGTAGCTTCATTTTTTTTTTTTTTTGTCAAGTCTGTCTGTTACACTCCTTGTACACTAATATTTATTTGTCATATTTTTTGAATAAAATATAAATAATTTGTTTTAAATTTTTAATAAATTAAAATTTACTATTGTATTAATTTTTATAAAATGTACCTAATGCACTATATAACTATTCAATGTTAAATTTTCATAAAACCATTTTTTCTCAAAAAAATCATAAGGTGCCTCATAGGTATAATTTAATTTAAATACCCAGGAAATGCAGAGCTTAAGCACCCTCAGTTTTTATGTTGAAATTGCGCATATGGTGACACGGATATATATTTTGAATAAACACGTATTTCACGTGACACGTGAATTCGAAATTGGTACGAGGACTATGATAATGATTAAACAATCACCGAAATTGTCGTCCACGATCGCAGTTACCTGTAAGTGGCTGTAACGCCATCCGTGCCTGATTGTCGTGATTTCCATCGCCGCACAATATACCTAGTTCTCTCCAAAGTCCTAGGTTGCTAAGTTTGTCACGATCGTGGCCCATATGCGTTGCTACATCAATCACAAATTGAACTAAATTCAACCCACTTCATTGACAGGGACGATTTGCCTTAATTTTATTATTTTTTTAAATTAATTATTATTTTAATTTTGTTTTTTCGATAAATCTATTAAGGTGTATGACCGCATGGCAGTAAATGTTGACAGTCACCGGTGTATGTCGACATTCACTAATCATTTTGGGGAATGTTATCAATTATTTCAAATATCTCACAATGCGGACATTTACCAGTATTTGTTGACATGCACAATAGTTATTTAGTGAATGTTGACATGTGTGACAACGACAACATAATATATAATCAAATAGATAACTAATAAATTCATAAATAAATATAGTTGAACAAATTAATTTTTTAATCTTTAAGTTTAGGTAGTATAAGTTTATGCTTTATTAAGTTTTATTTATTACACATAAACTAAAATAACATAACAACTTCAAATGTTATATTTTTGAATTTGTTCTGCAATTCGTTCATCATTCTGGTTTGCCCTCCATGACCAATTTTTATATGAGCTTCGTACATAATGTCGTATAGTTCTTCGTTCTTTACATAGTAAATAATTTTAGTTTCACCTGCTTTTAACGGGACGATTAGTTTATGAT